GATTACGAGTCGAGTGCCTTAACCACCTGGCCATGCCGGGCCCATGTTTGTTGTTCTCAGTAGCTTCAGTATTCGGCTAGTTTGTGTTAAATTGTTACACTTAGTTTAGGTGGTAAAAAAAAGCAAGTTGTAATGTTCGATGTTCATTTACTGATTTATAAAGGAAAATATTTTGAGTGTTAATGGTTTTTTTGTTTCCAAAATAATAGTTTATTATTATTTAAGTATTTTTAAATTAATTTTTTATTATGAGTTCCGCTCGGACCCGGAAGAGTGACTGTGGAATATTTTTACACAAGACTAACACAGGGTTAAACATGTACTCAGTTAAATTATCGTCGAAAGCCAAATGGCACCATCGCAAATGAAAACTAAAGTTAACCATAAGGGTACAGGTTAATTTGAATTCTTAGAGAGCAAATCCACATGGAAACACACAAATCTGTCACAAGTAATTGGAAGAAAGAATTTTAAGAGTTCTCTCATAGCAGTTACAGAAATACTATTTAATTACAAATGAAATTAATTATGTTATTCTACATAATCCCTTTAAAGTTTATATACATGAAAACATCCCGAAAAGTGTGTTAAAATATTTGTGAAGTATTTAAATATCTGGTAAGAATCTGAATATCTCAAGCCCAAATACTGATTTAAGTATGGCAATAAACCCTCGACTATCTGACACACGTAAACACTGACTGGTACAAGTTAGATCAGCTGGCCAATGGTTCGAAAATCCACGAATGAGTCAACCTTGAGCTACCGACAAGGATAACTCGGCCTGCTAATTAAAAAGCACGTTGTTAATCAGATATTTAATCTCCATTTGACCCAAGTAGCCCCTGGGGAAATTAAAACTAGAAACTAGGAATTGTTACGTATCTGCTTGTTTGTCAATTTCCGGTTGAAATTCTTTCCGAGGAGCTTCAGCAAAACAACTCCTTTCTTAATTAATCAGTTTATTCATTCCCGATACACACTTTTAGTACACAGTAATTTCACAATCACTACGTTTCTCGTCACTTTAAACTTAACTATTTTTATAATATACGCTATAAATCACAGCGATTCACAACCTCGATAACAAAACACACACTAGCTAGAAACTGAACTCTCTGCTGGGATTTTCACGATGGAGGTTGGTGAGCGTCCCTCAACACCAACCACTACTGGTCTCCTTGAGGCTGACTTATTGGTAGTATTCTTCTTACACTGGCTCCTCATATGTCCTTGCTCTCCACAGTTCCAACAACCTTTCTGGGTAGCAACCTTTCCTGCCGTGGCATCTTCTCTGTGTTGAAGTTGCCGGCATTGAGCTCTCTTGTGCCCAGGTTTGTTACAGTGCCAGCAAAGTCCCTCAAACCTCTCTGAAAGCTGCCCTTTTATGGCCTTGAATCCTGATGACTGCACCAACCTTGGTACCTCTGTGCTTGGACTTAACATAGGATTTAAATTCAATAGCTCTGGGCATTGCATCCTGCATAGCAGAGGGGTGTGCTTGCTTGACTTGTATCTTCAGTTGTGGACTATCCAAGGCATCTACAAACTGATCCCTCAGCAAGAGCTTGAGGATATCTGGTGGAGCAGTTGGGTAGGCCTTGTGTGCCATATTTTCCAAATCCTGTGCTAGCTCTTGCATGCACTCCCCTTTAGCATTGACTCTCGTCCTAAACCTAACTCTGGAGACTTTGGACTGATTTTGAGTTCCATACCTGAGTTCTAGAGCAGCTAATAGTGCTCTATAGTTGTGCCTGCCATCTGCCTACAACTGTCCAAGTATTTCCAGTGGTTGTCCCTTCAGGCTCGTTGCCAAGTACACTGCTTTCTGCTCCTCTGTCCATCCATTCATTTCTGCCAGGAGCTCAAATTGTGCTCTATATGCTTCTCATGGTGCATTCCTATCGAATTCATGTGGCTTTCTTTGTACTAGATCACCCCTATTGCTAACACTCATGTCTGGAATGTGTTTTCTGGCAGGGCTGTTTGTTAATTTCCAGTAGAAATTATTTCCGAGGAACTTTAGCGATACAAGTCCTTTCTTGACTAAACCAGTTCATTCTTTCTCGATAAAACTTTTGGTAATACACAGAATTTCCACAGTCACTTTAAACTTAACAACCTTTATAACACACGGTATAAATTAAAGTGATTCACACATTTTTTCTTTTGGTGCCTACTGTTCACTTGAATCAATTATCTATCTCTTCAATCCCACTGGGTTTTTCTCGCCAGGCATATACACTAAAAAAGGAGGGCATCTAGCAAACACTCGGACATTCGCGGGGTTCCTCGATAATTCAAGAAACTCTAGTGCGCATGCTCCCAGCATTACGCAACTTCCGCTGTCGTAACAGTATGTAACTTAATATGCAAAGTAACATGTTCATTTATTATAAACGTATTTTAGCATTTGGTTATTTTTTAAAATAACTTATAACTCGTTATTTTATAGTACATACAAAGATATTCAGAGAAAATTCATAAAAAAATTAATATTGTTACGTCTCCGTTTGTTAATTAACTTTCCGTAACTTCGTTCCGACGAAACTTTAGCGACACAAGTTCTTTACTTAATAAAACTGGTTTATTCTTTCCGAATACAACTTTACGATACACTTATTTTCAACAATCGCGCTAAAACAAACGCTATATCAACGAACGTCAATAATACTTCTGACTGCAGTTCAATTACTCACTATCTACACACACATTATTATTATTCTGTCACGTTGTCACCCTCTTTTATATACCCGACTACCCTATATCTAGTAAATACTAGAGAA